TATTAATAAGAAACATAAAAAATTTTCAACTCCTGTGCCAACAATTAAATCAAATAGTTGGTACAGAAAAATACACATGTCTAAGCCGCACCAATGACTCAAAATTATTGTCTGACACCAGAGAAACCTACAGAAAAATCGTGAAATATCTTTCTGACACCAATGCAGATTTTCACACATATCAATTACGCCAGCAGCCACACTAACGAACTAACAATTTTACTAAATGACGAATATATTGACATAATCTTAATAACCGAAACCCGATTGACCAGTAAACGACTATTCAACATACCAGTAAACGACTATTCAATATCGATCGAACTGATCATCCAGATGGAACAGCCCATGCTGCTGTCATCATCCATCAATCTATTTCCCATCACTTGTTTCCCTTACTTATCCTTGATTTCCTACAGGCCATGCAGTCACAATTCAAACCCAAATATTTTCTTTAACTATTGCTGCAGCGTGCCTAAAACCAGTTTAAAACATCCGTTTCTGAATCCCAACTAAAATCTTTCCTTAATTCCTTAGGACACCATTTCCTTCTAGATGCAGTTTGATGGCCAGCTTCTCCACCACTCCACTGAGCGTATGTGGCTTCAGTGTTCTCACTCAGTCTCCACTGGCTTTTAAACGATGCTGCGGCTCGGAGAGAAACGCTGAGATCTCTTTAATATATATTTTAATTATATATAAAATGTATGAATGTAAACATAGAATCATAATATTCAATGCCCTAGATTGTGGCAGATTGTATTATTTTTCTTCAATAAAATTCAATTCTCTCTCTTAGTAACCAAATCATTTTCAGATATTTGCTTTCAAAGGTATTATTACAGTCATTTTTAGCTAATCACTTCAAACTGTTTTCAACTTTGAAAAACATTTACCCGAAACTGTAAGTATTAGCCAAATTATTAATAAAACACTTTTTATGTAGAATTCAAGAGGAGTATTTTCATTCCTATTCATTAATTCAGTCTGTTTAATGGATTTAAAGTAAAATGAGAAAAGCTAACAAAGTATCAAATGTGAGGGTTGTGGGGGGAGTAAGGTTTTTCACAAATTAGGGGATGTTTCATCCATCAAGTAGGTGGAAACTCTTTTGATTCTTATCCCTGACCCTAAAAAGAAAAACTCCTGTGAAGGAACAAAACTTTATAAATTATTTTCTACAAATGCCCTTTTCTGGTCGAAGGTCATGGGACTAATTAATTAAAGTGTATGTATAAGAACTAATGAAAAGAGAAATGGATTTTATTATTTATATTTTCCTGGAACTGTGGGGTAAGGACATTAAGAAAAATTAATTACTTAAGTATATGAATTTCATTAACAAGAAAAGAGTTTTATTGCAGGATTATATTTAAAATTAAGAAAAAAAACAAAGAGATTCAAAATAAAAAAAATAGTACGGATTTGAAAACAAAACCAGTAAAACTGAAATATAAATAAGTAGAAATAATAAAAAAAATGGGGACTTTATAAACAAAAAGTTTTTCTTTATCAGCAAATAATGGAGTCCATCATTTCAACATTAATCAACATGACAGCTTTTGATAAAAATATTCTCTTGCATGGAACCAAAGTGGCAATAATATTCATGATTTATTTGCCGGTGATGTATAAATCTGGGTATCTGTTCTTCTGATAAAATCACCACTTGATATGATCCCATCCATTTGTTATCTAATGCCCTCTGCTGAGTACCTGTTCAGTTCAATTATTTCCTTTGATTGAGGTGTACCTTTCAGAGAATGATGCTTCAGGCTCTCTTCAATGTTCCTAAAATGTCCTTCTTTTTTTATTTTGTTCTCCATTTTCCTATGTTTCTCTCTGTTCCTCTTCTTTTTTTTTTATCTCGATGATTTTTATTTCATTTTAAATAGTTTTAGTACTAAGTATATCTACTTAGCATATCTATTTTCTATCTCAGTTCAAGTGTTATTTGGAAAAGAGATGGAATGGAACAAAAATTGAAACAAACTCTAGTGGTGGAATATTCTGTTCCATTCTGACCTGCAGTTGGAATTGCCCATCTCTACTGGATAGCTATTAGATTTCTAACTCTATTATAGGCAACGTGTATCCAAACCAACACATACCCACCTACATGTTTCACAGCAGCAGAAACGTTTTGCTTCTTCAGTTCCTCATTTCTCCTTCACCAAATAATCTTTCAGCAAACAGATTTAAACAAAGCAAATTTACTTTTATCAGAGAACAGCACATTTTCCCAAAAAAACGGATGGGCTTCATAATGTATTCCCCAGCAAAAGAAAGTCAGTTTTTGTGATGGTCTCATTAATAGAAGATTTTTTTCTCAGGGTCCTGCCATAAAGAGCTTAAGGATTCAAAACATTCCTTACAGTTTTAATGCTTACACACACACCAGAAGTTGATTTGACCATATTAGCTAGGACATCTGCATTTACAGGTGGATTTATAAGCGCTTCAATTTTGATTTTTCACTTCATTCCTTCATTTAATTTCCTGGGATGACCTTTGCAATGGTTATTTTTAGTTATACCCCATTCTTCATATAACTTAATCACAAATTTTAAGGTAGAAAAATGAAAAATCAAGAAATCTGCTATTTTGCGAAATGATTTTTGTTAGTTTCGCAATAAAATCACTTTCTCGTGAGAGGAGCCACTCAGTTCACTTATTTTTGTCATTATCAAGCAGTTACAAATATATAGATTTTACACAATTGAAATATTTAGAATACTGATCGGAAAGAACAGAATTATACTCAAGAAAGTAAACAACAAGTAAAGAAAAAAGTGTGCAAATACATTTTAGCTGGCATTTATGTTATTTTTAATTTTTTTTTACAATCATTGAAGTTTTCAATTAAATTTTTAATATTATTTAAAAAGTTTAAATTGTAATTTTTACTGGGTAAAGTCTAATGAATTTTTTTAAATGTTTAAATTATTAAATACAGAAGAAGAGGTGTGCAGATACTTTTTTTCCCCACTGTGTTTAAATTTTTATTAATGTAAATCAAAAATAATGAAATTAATGAATGAATGAAGAGTGAGTCCCTCCGTAGTGCCGTGGAAGGCAAAAGACAGGCCAGGTCCCAGGTTTATATACGATTGATGTCTCAATGCTCAAGAATTGTATTCCGTCACAGCGTGTGGTGGCTGAGTGTTCTCCAGCAACTACAGAAATATGAAACTCCCAATAACCTGTATGACCTAGTGAGAAGCTACCTCCAGGACCGGACATTGAAAATCAGGGGAAGAAGACACCGTCAAGAGGGGCTGCCCGCAGGGATCTGTTCTGGGTCCTACCTTGTGGAAGCTAGTCTTTGACGAGTCACTGGAGAAGCTCGAAGAGGAGCGGTTCCCTGCCACGGCCCATGTTGACGATTTGGATGCTTTATTGGCCTCAAACAGCATAGCCGGGCTGAAAGCAGAAGCTGAACGATGCGCCAGTTTTGTAGGAAGATGGTGCGAGAGGAAGAAGTTGAAGATGGTTGCCACAAAGACCCATACAATTCTCTTGAGAGGCACGACTGACAGGGCTCATCATATTATGTTGAGTATAGAGGAAGAAAGGGTATGTCCAAGTGAGGTTGTCACCTACCTTGGCATAAAAATTGGTCGAAAGTTCAACATCACTCCTCACTTGGACTATATGAGAACTAGAGTCACAGTGGCCCTAAATGGACTCAGTCATGTTAGAGGCGCCTTCTGGGGTCTCAGATACACAGCTACAATGACTATTTACAATGGAGTAGTTTTGGATATTCTGAGATATGCGTCCTCAGCTTGGAACCTAAACCTCTCGCATCGACAGAAGAGTAGGCTAGCATTGATTCAGAGATTGGCTTAATTTCGGGTCACTGGAGCCTATAGAACGGTATCTCATGAGTTCGTGCAAGTACTGGCAGAGGGAACACCTCTCGATCTCCTTCTGCAAGAAGACTATTACCTCTTTAAAATGAAAAGAGAAGGTTCGGCAGATCTACCGGAACATCTAAAGATAAGAATTGATGAAGACCCAAGAAGATGGAAAAGAATTATCAGGGAGAGGACACAGTTGATCAATGGAACCGGCGATGAATGGCAACTCCAAATCAGTGCCTATCAGGCACTAAGAGCTTAGCTCCTGAGAGAAATGGGGATATATATGCTGACAGAGAGTATGTTCCTCCAGCTAATGAGCCTAGAGAATTACCCACATTATTCATATACGGGTGGAAAGATGCGGTAGGCCCTACACATTTTAATCTGAGAAGAAGAGAAGGAAGTTAAGACAAGCTGCAGCTGCTTTGAGGACCGGCTTCAGGTGGAAGAATGGAGAAAAGGAAAAGCGTGGGCTTGTGCACACAAACAAGTCTACACCTCATAAATAATAATGTTAAACAACATTTTAATTAAATAGACCTATACTGCCAGTAATGGCATACGCATATACCCTGCATAATACCCCACTGCTGTGACAACCTGTATTACCTATAAGGCAAGGCAAGGAGAAAAAATAAAATGGAGAGTGAGGCTCAATGAATGGGTAGCTCGGTGAGTAAAGTATTATACTCCAATGCTGCAGGTAATTAATTAAGCCATAAATCAGCCAGTGATTGGCCCTGGGGTAAGGAGACCCTCTTGGGGACACATTTAGCCTCTATTAAGATGGATTATCTTAATTAAAGGAAAAATCTGGTAGTTGAGCATGATCTTGGTCTAATCACCTCTTTGCACAATTGTAACCAAGAAACTATTTATTTTGAAGTAGTGAACCCAATATCCTACATGAGGTACAATTTTTTTTTTAAATGAATGAATAAATTGGAATCATTATCATAGTGCTTGGAGGACAATTAAGAAATAATAATAGCCTTCATTATACAGTACTATATTATTAAATATTCGCAGAAAAATGTTTAACAAAACAAGATAAAATGAATATAAATCAAATTTTAGTTAAAAACTATTACTGTAGTCCACATAGGCCTTTCTCTACAATTAAGGAATACTTACAGCAAACCAAAGATCCTTGGCACAGAGTGAGCTATCAACCCATGTTTGTTTAAAGTAACGTGCCAAAACAATACCAATACTTGTACAACCAAGCCAAGCAGCTACCATAAAAGAGCCGTGTAGGCGTAAAAGAAGCTTTGATGAGGTTGAAAATGCTGCAATATCTGATAATAACCTTTGTTGGCCACTGACTACATAAAAATTATCATGAAAACCAATAGCACCATCTGTAACAAAAATAAATATATTCAACAATAATAAATTAGAAAAATCTGTATACTACATTATATGCATATTTACAAAAACTCTTGGGGCCACTGCTGCATCAACCTTCGAGAAGGAGTGTACGGATGGGTGGAGCTAGATAGGGATTGTGCCAGGGGATTTGGATGATATAAAGGTTCTAGTGAAATTTGGTGATTTTATGAGGGATATAATTGATAAATTTAATTTATATAGTAAATGTTTTGATGGATATTGTTCCTGGATTCCTGCCACGAGGCAGGCTCGTTTTGGCCGTGCTATGGATGGTACATTGTATGCAATTAGATCTAATTTACCACAATGCCAGGTTAAATTTCTGGATATTGATGACGTTAAAGGGATTTATGTTAAAAATCTAATTGAATTGTATATTGTGCCCATATATCTACATGGCGATTCATGGGACTCAGATTTTTCTAGTTTGGTACAAATTTTCTTGTAAAACATTCACACATTAAATTTGTTTTAGCTGGGGACTTCAATGCTAGGATTGCAGATTCTCAGTCTCTACCCTCTGATTTAATTTTAGATAATCCTAATTGTAACCTGTCTAGGAAATCAGTAGTAGTATGGGTAAATCTGTAATTGATTTATTTGTTTTCCAATAGTTTATATTTCACCCATTATTGATTTCAGAATTTTAGCAGAACCATTTACCATTTTTTTGTGAGATCTCATTTATAGACAATCCATGAATGGATAAATATACAGATATTTATAAAAATTCCTTGGAATTAGAGATACTTTCCTCCTGACCCTGAAAGAGTTTTAAACATATTAATGGATTGTATTAGAAGCTCTTCTCTGTGGAATACTAAATATTTTCTATACATTAGAAACATCCAACAAAATATGTGGTTTAATGGACAGTGCCTCTGCGCAAGAAATAAGTCGTTTGCCTTGTTGAATCTTTTTTATCGAACTAGATCCACTATCGTCAAGCATAATTATTTGGAAGCGAACAGGGCTTATAAGGATTAATGTTTGAAAAAGAAAAAGGAACTCCTTTATATGGTAATCGAACGCTTTAAAAATGTAAACGATTTTAAGGAATTTTGGCACTTGACTAATCATTTTAAGTGAAGAAATTTTGCTTTTGGTTATATCAATCTCCACAAATTAGTTTCCCATTTTCAAATCATACTTAACCCTCTGGTAATGGTGGACTTATATTATATGCTGAATCTTATGTTGATTAAACTTCTCTAAACCTTCCTTTTAATTTAAGTGAATTGCAAATTGGGATTAGTAATTTAAAGAATAACAAGGTGCCGAGCAATGATAGAATATCATATAGTTTTACAAACATGCACCCGTTGTATTTTTGGTTAAGCTTCTTTCTCTTTATAATCAAATTTATGAGACTGGCGAAACTCTGGCTTCCTTTGGAAAATCTATATTATTTCCTCTTTTTAAACGTGGTGGCATCAATAATTTTCATAATTATAGGGGTAAATCATGTTTGAATGCATCTGTGAAAATTTTTACTGGACTTCTTTTGCAACATTTGGAAACTTTTGTCATGAAGAATGAATGAACTTCTCAGTCAGTACCAAACAGGTTTTAGACACAAGTACTCAATAATTGACAATTTATTTGTTTTGGTAAATATTACAAAAATTAAACACCTTAAAAACAGGACAAAAAATCTTTGCATTGTTTGTAGATTTCAAATCAGCGTTTGAAAGTATCTCTAGAAACTCTTTGATTTTGAAATTATATAATTTGGATGTCTAACTAAATTCATTAATGTTCTAAAAAATATTTATTCCCAATCAGAATCTGCGGTTTTTTCCTGTGAATAATGGGGTACGTCAGGGGTGTTTACTCAGTCCACTCCTCTTTTCATTGTATTTAGATCATTGTATCCTCTTACGTTTGAAGGAGGAGTTCGTATAGGAGGTACCCGTATCAGCGTTTTAATGTATGCTGATGACATTGTGCTGCTGGCTGAAGATAGGGTTACACTGCAAAGAAATATACATCTTTTGATAGTCTATTGTGATGATTGGAATTTGACAGTAAATCTTTCTAAATCAAAAATTATTGTTTTTAGGAAAGGTGGAAGACTGGCTGCTGCAGATAAAACTGGCTGCCTGAAAGTTACCTCTCCAGAGTGATCGCCATTGAAGTGATTAAACATAATACCATGGTGCAATTTGGCGGAAAGATACTCTTGCAGGTTCGACAGGTCTTTGGAATGCTTTTCGTTATGGAAAGATCAGTTGGCGACAATACGGTCTGCAATCACTCAGCAACATTGGATGCAGTGTGAATTAACCGGCATTGAATTCTGATCGATTTCTATTGTATAGGGAATTAAGTCATGATCTTAAAATTTTGAAATTCATGGATGGTCGCTGTTGGGATTTGACTGGGCGCAGGCTGAGTTGGTTGTTCAAGCTCAGGTATGAACTCCTTTATTTGAATTACATCCCCCAGCTTGACAGGGAGTATAAGGAATGTCCAGTCTGTAATCAACCACTAAAGGAAGACCTGTTCCATTTTTTGGCTGAATGTTCAATGCTTGGTCAAATTCGTATCAAATTTCTTGGAACTAGCCCGGTTCGAAATGATATCCTAATTTTTCTTCTAAATGCTCACTCTGTGAACGAATGTCGTAAAATTGTCGGTTTTGCTCGACATGCGTGGATACACCATTTTAATTTGTTACATCCAGAATAAACAATGATCTGTTTAATTTATTTGGGTTCAGATTTACTCATGTTATTGTTTATGATTTCTTTGTTATTATTTCTTAGACATAAATTAATCAAATTGAATTATATTGTATTAGTTGTTTTGTTATTGATCAGTTATTCATGTATATGTAATTGTTATAAAGTCTGTATTTGTACTGTACCTGTAAAACATGAAATTTCCGGCAGACGAATAATCATGCTGTATAAATGTTCTTTGTATTTTTGGATATTTATAATTTATGCATATTTAATAAAGCATTTATCATTCATTCTTGGAGATATCGGCACCCAGCCCTCTAAATGATCATATATATTAGGTGACATTACTAGGCCTACCCTTTCTTTTGCAAAAATCCTTCTAGGTACTTCAGCATAAATTAAGGAGCAATTATTAGCCAATTTCATTTCTCCACTTTCCTTCTTTTTTCCTTCACTTATACCGAGAATTTCTACTTTGTAGGTCCTCATTTCCTCCACCAGCTCGACCTCCTTCCCAGTTGAAGTTTTTATGTTCCACGTTCCCATTCGTATATCCCTTAACATACCAGGTCGTTTCCTTGAAGAGTCAGCATCCAAGACTAGTTGAATTGATTTGAATCAGTGTTCTCCAGACGGGTAATTAGTCCAGTGCTGGAGATCCCGTATCCTCGGGACAATTGGCCTCCTGAATATTTATATCCCCTCGGGAGGAAGGGTGGGCGGGCTATACCCCCCCCTCCCCACCAGCAATGGGTACCTGTTGGTTCACACGTCTTTATTCAGTATATTCAGACCACCCCTCCTAAGAGGTATTCCTTATCTGCCACCCGGATGTGCTCCCTAGTGGACAGGTTCCACCGAGAGTACCTATCATGTTAAAAAAAGAATATTTAGAAATGGTACCTGAATTTCACGGAGATCAAATGTCCCGAACTAGATTCTTAGAAACTTCAGACAAATTTATTAACAAATTTTATATCACGGAAATACCAGCAATTTTCAAAATTATTATTTACTATATTCCATACATGCAAAAAATAAAGGTCCTGCAGCGAACATGGTTAACTGTAAGTACATCAACGCCTGGGACGACATAAAACTGACTTCAAACAAGGGTACACGGATAAACAAGATGTCTATATATCAAATATTGAGTTAGCAAATATGAAACAGGGAAACGTAATCTTCCCTTTGATTTCTATAACAAAATTCAAAAAAATTTACGATTACAGATTAGCTATTTAAGAAGTGAAATCCCTTTGGAAGTATGAGTCCTTATTAACTTTCTTGAAAAACTGGCTTTAAGAGTACTCTTAAAAGGTTTAAAAGAACCGCTAGGGTCTTTTATGCGAACGAAAAATTCAATAGATTTAAATCAGGCCATAAACATTTTGACAGACGATTTCCTATTTGTTTATTATTCAAATCGCCCTATATTAACTTTAGTTCTAATAAACCACACCACAAAAATCAGCAACAAATTATTTAATATGTGCCGGTAAATCAAAATTACGAAAATCCGAAAACTAATAATTATAACACGCCTTATAGACCAACCCAACCCGCCAATAGACCAACTAACTTTAATCAAAATCAATACAGACCTCAACAACCTTATCAATCTACTCCTATGAGTGTCAATAGTAATTTTATCATAGACAAATAATACACCAATACTCCGAAATCCCAATCTTGAAATAGAAGAATTGCATAACTTAAATTCAGAACAATTAGAAAATAATTTTAAAATTAATGAGCAAGCAAATGCTCAAGTTTCTAAGGAGCCCACTATATCACCTGGATGATTATAAGGAATCTTAATTATACCCAGATGATCCTAATATTTCACAAAATAATTTTTTAGACCCTAGTCAATCACAAGAACTGTGGACGTAGAAAATATGTATCCCCGTGTTGACATTCTAAATTTAACAAGTTACAGTGCCCTTCCATTCATCATGTTACCAAACTCTAATTTATAAATTATTATTGACACAGCTTGCACAAAATCACTCGTTACACCTAATATAGCAAATAAATTCTTTAATAATAATATTACTCATGAACCGGGTGTCTAATGATAGTTATGGTAGAGTGCAGATCGTCTCTGTGTTTTAAATAATTTTAGAGGTTTAAATTGATTATTGGATCAATATATTTGGTGTAGTGGTGTATCTTAGTGTGCTAAAGCTGTCTTTTATTAGAAACAAAGAAAAGTGTGCATAATAAGTGATCTTATTTCAAATTATCAGAACAGTTGTGCGTTACTGACTCGAACAGGATTAGAAAGTTTTGAAGCAGACAGGCTACGTCACAAGAAAGTTATCTACAGCTAACTCATTGTTGTCTTTATATTTCCCTAATTTTAATTCACCAATACTGAATTTGAAATGAATGGAAATATAAATAATATCATTATGAATCCAATAAATGATGAAATTGTGACACTTCAGACAATAATAATGGAAATCTACAGCAATAACATACATCGGAGCTTAAGTATGTAAAAACCAAAATCGATGAACTCAAAAAGATTAATTCAATGGAAGAAAGGATAAAGAATATAGGGAAAAGAGGCAGAAAAAATAATATAGTATTATTTAATGTGCCAGAAAACGATGGAGGAACCAATTTGGAAAATGCAGTTGATGAAGTGAAATCAATATTATCTGGTATAGACATAAGTTTATCTGATGGTTTGATAAACAACTGCTACAGATTGGGAAAAAATAGATACAACAAACCCAGACCTGTCCTAATTTCTCTTAACAGTTATTTAATCAAGCAAACAATAATGAAAAAGAGAGATTGTTTATTGAATATTGAAAAAGAGAATATTTAGAGAATAAAGATTCCTATAGCACATGATAAATCACCTGAGAAAAGAGAGGAGGGAAAATAAATACATTTACATCTTAACAAATATGTTTTGTTTGTTGTAATATGTTTGTGAACCTTTGACAGTACTGTTACTTATAAAAACTGTTTTTTCACAATGAAAAGAAACACTTGTCACATCTCTGAGATCGGAGATCTACTGGAAACTATTGAAGACAGCAAATTATCACCAGTGTCATCACCAGTTCAGGTAATTAAAAGAAAAAAATTAGTGAAAAATTCGAACAACAGTATCGATTACGAGAAAGAAAATATTCAAATAAAAACTAGAGAGCTGGTAAATGAATCATCAGGACTGACAGAAGAGGTATAATGTTTTAATATTTTATTTTGGAATATTAATGGATATCAAAATTTTATACAACACGATGAATACATGGGCGAGTACAATATGATTTGCCTCGCTAAAACTCACGTAACGACTGAAATAAGAGCTAAGTCTAGTTGGATGTCAACGTATAAAGTTGTTTTCAGCCCAGCTGTTAGGAGGTATAAACATGGTAGAACCTCTGGTGGCTTGGTTTGTTTTTATGATCAGAAAAAATGCTCATTAAGAACTTTGCGTAATAATAAAGAAAATATTTTTATCTTAGTTTGTAAAAATAGGTTAAAATTAATTGAAGACTTGTTTTTATTAATCCTGATTTAGATATTAATTTTTTTTTGGAAAAAATAGAAATTATTATTGATGATATCAGAGAAAAATATAAAAACATTCCAATTCATTTGGGGGGGGGACTTTAATTTTAGATTAAGTAATTTAAATATATCTCTCCAGAAATTATTCATGACACTTGCCTCTTGACAAATCAAAAAAATTCAGAGAGCTTCATAAATTTAAGAGGAAAAATATTAACTGAACTTATGGAACTTAATTCATTTATAGTGTTAAATGGCTTAACTCCCAGTGATCTAACTGGTAATTATACTTATTGTAGAATTAATGATGTGAGTGTCGTTGACTTTGTCTGGTGTGAAATCGGTGGCTTAGAATTGGTATGTGATTTTACAGTCAAACAAGTTTCATCCAGTCCTGATTATTTTCCTTTAGAATTGAAAGTTTACTCTGGGTCTATTGTAAATATAAAAACTGATATCTATAAAAGAAACTTCATCAAATGGGGTAATAATATATCTGAAATATCTAAAAGTAGTTAACTGATTTCTCCATTGATCACAGTGAACTTTGAAACCAGTACTGTTGAAGAATTATACAAAAATTTTATATCCGCTGTTTTCAGAACGTCTAAGGAAATTAATATAATGAATGTAAAACAGAATTTAACAAACATGGCATTTATAGGAATAGACCTTGGTATGGTAATGAATGCAAGGCACTTAAGAATGAGCTGAAAAAATGCTTTATATATGTAAGAAAAATAAACTTAACTGGCAATAAAATTAACTGGTAAACCACTAGGTGAATTTTTGAATTCATAGCTTGTTCTAGGCTTTCTGTTACAATAATATAAGTGAAGTTGCAAGCATAATTACGAAATCCTCTTTTCTATACTCCAAATCAAATAGCGTTCAGTCCATATCAAATAGCATATATGTGGTATTGTGAATGATGGATGGAATCAGAAAAATAGTAATATAGATGAAAAAAAGAGTTGGAGAAAGCAAAGATCCCTGATTAAACACGATGAATTAGTAAGAGGGGAAAGAAGGAGTTTTATTGGAAATGGTGACTGTTTGGAATCTTGTGATACAAGGAGTGGAACCAATCATTACTTATGAAAAAGTATTTCAGAAAGATAATATAACACGCAATGTCTGAAAATATATTATAAATGTACTGAACACATTAAAACGTAAGATGTGATACGGTATACAAACATTTTTCAGAAAAAACAATTTTTTTTTATAGGAGAACGATTAGGAAGAAGATTATTTAATTTTCTTTTTACTAACTAAATTTGTCAAAAAACAAATCATATATTAATCATTAAGCATGATCAAAACTTATTATTTAACAATAAGTATTTTAGTACTCCTTTTTTATGCTAAAATGACAGAAAGTTATTAAAATTGCAAAACTATATTTACCTTTTATAGAGCTTCCTGCAGCTAATAAAATAAAATATTTATCATTAGAAAGGTCAAATATTTCATTTTCAATTACTGTGTTAACATCACGTGAAAATTTACAGTAAATTGTACCATCAATAAATGTTGAATTCAACATATTTATACCAGTTTGAATCTGAAATATGAATCACAATATGTTAGATAAACCAAGAAATAAAGAACAGTCCTTTCAAAGGAAAACCAAAATTCTTGGTCAACCCAGTATGTATTTCATCTTACATTTTAGTTCACAATAATGTTTTATTCTTTTCTACTTGGCAGAGAAAATTATTGATATAAACTTAGTTAATCATGTTAATAGAAGAAAAGAGACTAGACCCATCATTGTTGTTGTCCACTCAGGCAAATAATAACATAACTAAAATATTTGGATTGCATTACGGTAGTAGCAACCCCATCACCCGGTCGTTGTACCACAGACAGCCCCTGGCCCTCCAGGTTGGGGAAACAGTACACTAAGGCACATATAGTACAAAATCAGAAAACACTCTACATAAAGACATGAGCAGTATAGACCGTAAAGTAAGGTAACCAAATTTTAATATTGGTAAAGTAGGACATCATTGACCAGGTGAGGGAGTGGAGGAATTAGTTGGTAAAGTGAGACTCCATAGACCAGAGGGGAGGGTGAAGTTCTTGACTAAAATTGGGTTCATTCATCAAGTCCAAACAATAGGTCAAATTTGTTGTTACATTAATTAATTTTACATTATGATAATCTGGTGCAAATGATAATCAGGTGACAGTATTCAGCTGAAATAAGGTTGAGAATTTAGTTTTAAATTCTTAACAATTTATTAATAAGTAAGTAAATATTAATTTATTATTAAAGTTTAACATTATAAAAATAACATAAAACCCATATCCAGGCTAAATAACTACATGGCAGCCGAAAACCGTATATTCTCTTCCTGTTCTCCTGTCATTCCCTAGCTTGTCATGCATTCTTTCCGAAAATCGGGAATACCCTCACAGTGAGGGTTGATAGCTCTGCTACCTGAAAAATTATCAATATCTTAAAACCTCAAACAGCCTAGAATGGTAATAGCCAACTAAGGAAATGACCCAGAAACTCAATAGGAATATTAACTTAGGACAATGGAACATATCTCTGCACTGACCTGGAGCTTTCAAACACCTCCTAGATCAACTTGACTGGTATAAAATAGATATAGCTCTCCTCCAGGAAATCTGATGGACTGGCCAGGGCATACTCGAAAAGAAACATCATTTGATGCATTATGGCTGCAGCGAAAGTTCCAGGAATTTGGAACAGGATTCATAGTGAGAGGAAGGCATCAACAACTAGTAATCGGATTTAAAGCTGTTATCCATCTCATTTGTTACATCAGGCTCCGAGAAAGGTTGTATAATTATAGCCTTCTCAGTGTCCACGCTCATATTGAAGTCTCAGAAGAATAAGAAAAAGAAGACTTCTATGATATTCTTAAAATTTGAAACAGTGGCCCAGACATGATAATAAGATCATTGCAGGTGATTTCAATGCAAAAGTCGGAAAAGAAGATGTATATAGACCAACAATCGAGGGACACAATTGGCATGTGTAATGATTGTCTATAGACAAAAACAAAGGTTGAGTAAGTTGCCAAATAAATCAATCTATATATTTTTCAACAACGTACCACATCACGTGTTTTTTACATTAATATCTAACAATAATAATAATCCATACTACAGCATGAGACAAGCAATGGGAATGGGATGAGATTGATCAATTTTGCTGCATCATAAGACATGTGATAGGAGTATCTTTATTCCCACATAAGAATATATATAAAGGAATCTGGATACCACCAGATTGGACTATGCTCAATCAAATTGATCATTTTTTTATTATAAGGTGCCTTAAATTACCGCTGTAGGATGTAAGAACTTATATGGGCGTGAATATGGACTCAGATCATTACTTGATCACAGCAATCATTCGCCCTCAGATAAAATTGCCAGGAGAGAACAGAACTGGACCTAAAACTAGAAGATTCAACATCAATAAGCTGAAAGAACCTGAAATCCAGAAACTCTACAAGGAAGAGTTGGATGATTGTTTAAGCTTGACCAACATCCCTGACCAGGAAGTAAATGTGGATAGCTGCTAAACAACCTGTTCAAAAGTGATTGAAGATGTTGCAAACAAAGTGCTAGGACTACCACAAAAGGAATCCAGATCCTCTTGGTTTGACCATGAATGCCAGACAATAATGGAAACCAAAACCAGGCCTACAGAAGCATGATAAAAAAATCATAAAGCAGCATGAATTGATGGATTCCCAGCTGAGTTACTCAAATACGGAGGCAAAGAACTAATTACAGTCATTCAAGATATAATAACTACCATCTGGATAAATTCCTCCTTAGGGAGAAAGCTTATTATTATTATATTATTATTATTGGGATAAAAAAGATTTTCCATTAACCTAAAATAAAACTGTAGTCATCCCAATCCACAAAAATGGAAACAGGATAGTATGTAGCAATTATGGAGGTGTATCCTTACATCCATCTTCATATAAGGTATTTTCAAATATTCACTTTCAACATACGTTACCTTATGCAGAGAAAAATCTTGGCCCATATTGATACGGCTTCAGAAAGGGAAAAGTAGCTGTTGATCAGATTTTCTGTCTTGGACATGAATGGAGAGAGGACATGAAATAATGTCAAAACTCACCACTTGTTCATACACTTTAAAGTAGCCTATGACAGCATCAACAGGGAAAAACTGTATAAAGCCTTAGACAGATATGGAATACCTGTTTAACTCGTAAAGCTCATCAAACTTACAATGAACAACGTGCAATTTACTGTAAAAATCAACAGATATAGGATCAAAGAATTTAGCACAAGTAGACATAAGGCAAGGAGACATTTTGACTTGTTTACTTTTTAACTTAGCCATAGAAAAAACTACAAGATATGCTGACCATCTCTATGCTGACATAGATATTGTTGGTCAGTCACTAAGACCTTGTGCACCAATCCACACACTGCCCTTTGCACCAAGCTTAATCCCCAAGCCTTACCCAATGTCTGTCCATGTCATTGTCACAACAAGTCCTAATGAAATTATTTTATTTAATCTGTGAATTTTTAAAATGATTAATTTTTTACCAAAACTATCTTAATGATATCATTTCCTAAAATAATTTATATATATATTGTTGGATTGATGCAACCTGATGTCCAAACATAAATTGGAAATATATATATATATATATATATATATATATATATATATATATATATAGATACACACCCAAAAAGAGGATTACTCATTTATAATCATGTTTGTATTTTTTAACTTTTAAAGTAGAGATATAAATTCGTTTGTTGTAACTTAAATAGTAAAAGTTTGTGTGTATCCCTGCTGGATCTTTAAGAATTGATAAAAAAAGTGTCATTTATAATCCAATTGAACCTATATATTTAAAATCTATTGGTGAACATTCCCTCTCATGTAATATCTTATACATTTCATAATAAATATTAATAACGGGAGTCTTTCTCGACGTTGAACAGGCGTTTGATCGAGTCTGGCATCCGGGACTGATGTACAAACTCCGTAAATTCCTATCACCTACATACTTCTTCATTATCCGTTCCTACCTTAGTGATAGATACTTCAAAGTAAATCACAAAAATGCCTGTTCATCTCTTTTATCTCAATTTGCTGGTGTTCCTCAAGGTAGTATCCTAGGTCCTATCCTTTACACAGTTTATACAGCTGACATTCCCAACACTGTAATCACCACCTATGCCGATGACACATGTATCCTATCAGTTAACAACGATCCATGAATTGCATCCCAAACTCTCCAATCACACATCAAAAATCTTGAAGAATGGTGTCAAAACTGGAGGATTAAAATAAACTCCAATAAATCCCATCAAATTACCTTTACCCTGCGTCGCAAACCTATGACCTCCTGTCCTACAGTATTCTTTAACAATTCCCCACTTATCCCAGTTGAACAAATTCGTTACCTAGGACTCCACCTCGACAAACGACTCACATGGAATCCTCATACAAGACTGAAACGACAAGAAACCGCTCGACGTTTCCGACTACTCCAACACTTACTAGACAAACGCTCTAAGCTTTCAATCATTTACAAACGACTCATATATATGACAATAATAAGACCTATTTGGACCTACGGAATTGAGCTCTGGGGCTCCACTAAGCCATCGAATTCCTCTCGTATCCAATCCTTACAATCCAAAATCCTTCGTAAAATCCTCAACACTCCTTACTTTGTCACAAACAAAATCATCCATAAAGACCTTAATGTTCCATATGTTTCCGATTTGGCCCAATCCAGATACCTATCCTTTCATAACAAACTGCAGAACCATCCGAACCCTCTTGTTTCAAACATTGCTTCCTCCTCTATCCCTGATAACCCTCCGAGGCGTCTGAAAAGAAGATGGCCTCGGGATCTTCTAATATAGAACTTAAATTTGAGTTCTACCAATGGGTAGTTTCTCTTCATATTTTACATGTCATGTTACCAATGTCACATTTACCTGTTGTATTTTTAATGTAATACAGTTGTAAATTTCAATAAAATTATAAATAAAAAAAAAAAAAATGTTTATGCAAGAAGCAGCGCATGGGTTGGTGTGCCATTGTGGACGAGTCCTAACAGCAGTGGCAGAAGCATTTTTAGCCCTAACCACATATGTTTGAAAAAGTATCAGAGTTTACCAAATCTGAGGTCGATTTTGACACAGGACAATGCAATCAAACAGGAGATCAAGAAAAGGATTGTTCTGGCTAACTGGTGTTACTTTGGACTTCATAGACATTTAGTGAGTCAGCACCTCTCCAGACCAACAAAATCATGTCTCTATAAGACCCTAATACGTCCAATACTCCTTTACGCCTCTGAGGCAAGGGCTCTTTTAAAGAAAAATGAAAAAGGCCTTCAAATCTTTGAAAGAAAAGTTCTTCATAGGATATTAAGAAGAAAGAAAGTAGGTTATGAATGGAGGAGCAGGAGCAACAAAGAGCTTTTAGATATATATCGAGAGCCCGATGTTGCTAAAGTCCTACAAACAAGAAGGATACATTGGGCTGGCCATGTGCCCCTTATG